TTGTCCAGTGACAGAGTATTTTCTGATTAGTGCTCTCCAGCACTATAGTATCTTATCCAGGGCTGAGTTAGTGTTAAATGTCTTCTGTGCTCTACAGATCCCATCTCCAAGTTCCCACCAACCTAATGGACCCAGTGAAGAAGCCCTGCGGTATGAAATTGAAGAGCTGAAACAGAAAGACCTTGCTCTAGACCAGGAAATTGCACAATTATTGTCCGAGTATGTCCTTGGCAAGCTCAGTGTTCACTGGGATGCCTCAATTATTTTTGTTTTTAAAACAAAATATGGTTCAGGAATTGGTGCTAAAAGCTGACCTCTTTTGATGCCGTTTTTATCATGGTGCTATACAATGGTGATTAGTGTTGTTTTGAGTTATGGGATCTGCTAAAGACAAGAGGGAATTCTTTCCTGTTTATTTGGTAAAGCAAAACAAATTTTACTAGGAGCTTGGATAAGAGGATTGTAACTTTATCCCAGATGTTGCTGAGATAATTACATGTAAACTGGGAACGAATAATTTTAACCATCATGATAATATAACACGTCATGCTACCAGAAGAGAGCTTGTTCGTGTGAGAACTAAAATTGAAATCATGACTTGTATGACCTGCCTAGTCCTAGATAAAACTGTTTCCTCTTGTTCCATCTTGATCAAGTGTTCACTTGTTTTGTGTCTGGGGCGAGTGGGTTAAACCTTTGTGTTCAGGAAGCAGAAGTGTTTTCCAGGCAGGCAAGTGGCCTGTAGAACACTTTGGCATGACGGGTGCCGCATACAGCATAGTGCAACTGTTTTATTGTGGTTTCTTATGACACACTGTGGCAGCTGCTTATTAGCAACTGTCGTGAGATAAAATTGCTCCTTGATTTTTAAAGAGGGTTTTTTTTAATCTCTGTGGGTTATTCATTGTGAAGGAGTGATATTTTCTAAGAAAATGTGTAGTGCATAGAATGGAAATGGTAGAACAACAAAGCCTGTTCCAAAAGCTTTTTTGTTTTATCCTCAAGGATAAACAGACCTTCTTAATTATTTTTTTTTCCCTAGCTACAGATTAGAGATATGTATAAATTGAATTCACCACAGCCCATTCCTGTTTCTACTTGATTTGAGAATTCAGGTGGATTGTTTTTTTAATAAGTCTTGATGTGGCAAAAAAAAATCAAAATGAGAATCTACTCATTTGTAGCTTTCATGTTTATGATTTGCAGCAACTGTACGTGCTGCCTTCAGATTCTGCTTTTGACGTGCCAGGCTTGGGTATCTGAAATACCCTTGCTGTGCTTGGTCAGTAGTGGCAGCACTCACTATGCAGCAGCAGCAGCAATCCCTCTGTGTCATTTTTGACCTTTCTGGTTTTATTGTTACAGAGGCTACAGCCTGGAGGAACTGGAGCAGCACATCTCTCTCCTCCATGAGTATAATGATATTAAAGATGCTGGACAGATGCTGCTGGGCAAGCTGGGTAAGGAAGGGGAAAGCTGTTGGAAGAACTTCTTAGTCAATGTTTTCATATAGACAGAGAGAGGCTACTACGCCATGAGGGCAGAGCTTGTTTTAAAGACTCTTCAATTCTGGGCTTGTGCAATCACTTGTGCAAGCACAAATGCTTCTGTCATTATTTTCTTGGGATGTTTTTAGAACTGAACATGTGAAATAATTGTCATTTACTGGTATTTTAGTCTGTGTTATGCATTACCAAAATTTGATAAGTCTTATTAATTTTTTGTCAGTTTTGTTCTTCATATGCTTAAAAAAAAGTGTTGAGTCAAGCATGAGCACAGCTGCAAAACCTTAGATTGGTTTCTTAGCTACGGGAGGTTCCATGGGATAGTTAGGGGCTACTAGGAGGAAAACACAACTTTCCTGACTGATCTGATCTTTGTTTAATGAAAGCAATGGTATTTCTTTCTTTTCTAGCTGTTATTCGAGGGGTTACTACAAAGCAACTCTACCCTGAATACGATCTGGAGCTTAGCGACTAGTATTGAACCTGAAGACAGCCACGTCCTGCAAAAATGACTGTTACTGGGCCATTATGTTTTGGTGTCATATCGGTTTAGAATTGACATAAGGCGGCCTCGGAAGTATGTATGTAGAATTGCAACTGAGTGTGGGCTAACAGCCTTATTTCGAAGGAGCTTCGGAACATGCAAATTGTTGAATTTATCAACTGTTCCCTCCTTGTGGGAAAGTGATATAGGACTTTGGATAATTTAGTCTGCTACCTGATCAGCAGTATTTTTATTTTTTCGTTGGAAACGTTGTAATTCAGGTTGATAAGATTCTTCCCATGGAGCCTTTGCTTCTCTACAACATCCCAGGTCTATTTGAATACTGAACGGATAGAGGAAGTAAGGGCATACAAATGTGCAGTATAATAGCTGCTCTGAAAGAAAAGAAAAAACCCTCAGAAGTAGGGACGGAAGAAGGCTGAAGTTGTGGTGGTTTTGGGGTTTGGCTTTGTTTTATGATTGAATCTGGATAAGTCCAGGTGTTCTGCTTTATTTTTGTACTTAACTGCTCTGGTATCTAGAGGTTTTGTATCATTTCTGTAGTAAATGGCAAAATGTGAAGTTGTGTTGAACTGTCCAGTCTGAATAAAGCAGCTATCACATTTCTCGGTAATTCACTTTAAGAGCCTATAAAACATTGTATGAACTTGGGAACATATTCTTAAACTGTATTCTGAGACAACTATTAACATCTATTATTCAAATATTTTCTGAGGACTCTTAATGGACACAGTGTGGCAGCACTGCCCAGTAATGGGTAGGTGTGGAATTACCTTTACTCTCCTCTAAACGCAGAGTCACTGTGAAAGTGAGCGATGTCCGAAACACAAAATTATGTTGAGAGCATGAGTCTTTCAGTGTCAGGTGTTAGGATTGAGGGTGACTGCACAGACTAAATTTGGCTGCTTTGGGCAGTTCTAAGTGACAAAAGTGCTGTGCTGACTGCAGATCTATTGTCCCTTTTTCACTCAAGCTTGATGTCCTTCTGCCCATTTCTACTTCTAAGATCTTGTTGCCAGTAAGTTTCCCCCCCTGGTCTCCAGTCAGGCCCATGCTGCAGTCTGCTCTTTACTTCCAAATTTGAATCTGTCTTCACAGTGCTTGGAAACCAGAAAACGGTCACAAGGCTGCTGCTGAGAACAGATAATTGTTTCTGCACTCTTGGTTCTGGACCTGGCCCAGAAGCATCACTAATAAGCATCTTGTTTTGCCACAAAAGCTGGGGGTGGGGGCTCTAAAGCAGGGAGACCGACAAAGCCTGCATATTCTGTGATTCATTCAAGCAAGTCTCTGCTAATGTGCAGGTGTGCTTCTCTGGAGGGTATTTACCGTGGCCATATAAGAACAGACTCAGTGGTATGGTTACGGGTATATCCTCCCCGCCACAAACCCCTCTTGCCAAGTGTGGAAAACTCCTGTGTTTTAGAGTAGTTTTAAGAGGAGGCAAAAAGTCACAAGAAGGCTAGAACTGGGAAATGCTAACTTTGTTCTCCAAAGCCATGTTGCTGTTTTGGCTGGTATTTTCTGTGTGGAAGAACTGTTTTAGCCTGGAATATTCCAACCAAAATGTCAGTCTGGCAATGGCACACGCAACTGGAAATGGTTTTTGCAATGGGAAGTATGTAAAGAAGTTCCTTCAGTTTGTGTTAGGTGTAAGCCATGGGGGATGAATCATACTCCCTTACCAAAGTTACAGCAGGTTATTTAAGGACTGAGAAGTCCATGTTTTCTTTCCTTCCTTGTAGGAGTACCAGGATTAAAACTTGCAGCTGTAGCTGTGCAAATGTTCTGCCCGGCTCCAGAACTCACACTTCAGCAGTGATGGGTTTACACTTCAGTTAACACAAGATAGTTGTCCATGGAAGGTGCCCTGACCCCAGTCCCTTGTCCACAGAGGACGAACACAGAACCAACCAGCTGAGGTAAGAGCAAGCTGCCCTTGGGGAGTCCCTGCAGCTGGCACGGTGACGTGCCGTGTGGTGGCAGCTATGCTCCACTGCTGTTCTGGGCGCTCTGCAGGATGGGGAAACCCAGAACAACTGAAAGATTCCAGGGTCTGTTAATAACTCCTGGGGTGCTTCAGGACAGGACTCGACTCTGCCACTTTGGTACTTCATCACGGCCTCTCTCATTGCTCCTCCTAGAGTTACTTCTTGTACCTTAATGGTTATCATCTGGAGGATGAAATATGCTGGCCTTTGTCCAAATCCAGAAGAGGAACAGAACAAATTTGCTGCTGCTTTCTATAAATAACTAACTCCAAACTTGCTAGCTAAGTGTATAGCTGGAATAATATTGAGTGCAATAATGTTAAGTGTAACTTCAGATTTTTAATTTAAATTTAGAAAGTGTATTTCTGCTAAGTCAGACCCAGCTATAATGAGCTAACAGAGAACAAATGGTATTACAGAGCTTAGAGTTTCACTGAAGGGCAGTACATGCTGTCTGCACAGAGCTGCTGCAGAGCAGAATATCACAGACCCCTGAACACCCTTGGTTCCTCGGGGCGGGGGGGAAAGCAGCACGCTCTTTTTTAATGAGTCAGTGTACTCATGGATGAGTACTGAGCCAAGAACCAGCCTCTTGCCCTTTAGGTCACTTTCAGTTTTATTTCTTGTGTATCTTATGCATCAATCCTTATTACAAGCCACTTTACTCATCACACACGCCTACTCTGGATATAACCATTTCCTTGCATTGCTTTGTGTAAGCTGTGTTTCCCTCTGCACATCCCTCTCTTAGTCTGATTTTGAGCTTTTATGTGCCTGAAAGCAGGGCTAATGGAAAGAAAATACTCTAGGACAACAGAGGGAAAATAAAATCCATATAGTAGATAAGTTATGCTGCCAGTTGCAAGGAACAAACAAATCCGTGCAATCAAGGGAATACAGCTCTTGTAAGATGCTGTCTATTTCCTGCTGCTAAACAATTTGGGGATGGGTTTTTATATCCCTTGGCAACCTAATGTTCCCGAAGTCAACAGGAATTTTGGCACAGCTAACTCCTGTTAATGAACTGTTTGCAATGCTTTAAAAAAAATTATACAGCCTGTCACTGAAAAAAATGCCTCTCTGATTAAAGGCATCTCAAGGAAAGGGTGGAAGTGAACTGCAATTAACCTCTTTCCTTCTGCTGTCCATCATGCTGTCAGCATGTAGCTGTGTTATTGTGCTACAGAGATTGGTTGTGGACATTCCCTCCATTGCACACACTCAGCTGTCTGCAGCGTGGGCCATCTCCGCATCCATCTTACAAAAATTACTTTTATCTTGATGGCCTAGTGTTTTCTCTAACTCTGTTTTCACTTTAAGCTGACAGTCCCAAATTGCATTCTGTATACTCTGCAGGTTCCAGTGGGTTCTCAGGAGAGCATCCTCCAGTGTGAAAACACCATCGCGTATTCTTCGCACTTGTGTGCACACAGCAGATGATTTCAGCTCCAGACCAATCTCATGAACTATTTTTCGGAGGTACTGCTGAGTCTCATGCAAGCAATGGATTTCTAGAAGGACAGAGAGATTCCTTTAGAAGCAGCAAAGCGTTCACACAAACTCAGACCTTGTCTAAATCCAGACATCGCTCACAGTTATGCTGAAAGAACTGGTTTGATAGAAGAGACTATTTAAGATACAGCACAGGTGGATGATGATTTTTCTGGAATTCTGCAGGATGTCTTAGCCCCTCCCAAAGTGAATGTTTTAGAAAAACTCATAGATACAGGAGAATAATACAGAAATTTAGGTATTTCAAAGTGGGTAAGAAAAGGTACCTTTTTAATAAGACAGGTAATTTGTGAGGAGACTGGCTGCAGGAAAGCAAACCAAGCTGGAAAAAAAAACCCTCAACAAAAACAAACAAACAAATCCCCTACTGAACCGCACTACACTGAAACACTGGGAAAAGGAAGAATTTTGCCCCATAGGTATTCACTATGCAAATTTTCTTGCTGCAGTCTAAGATCTGGAACTGGCAGGGAAAGACCTGTGAGCTAGGTGCACAGCTGGCTTGATTTATAAAGCAGCTTCAGTATTGTGAGGGTTCCAGATCTTGCCCTACCAAAAAATCCTTCCACTGCACCAAAGAGTTCATCTAACAAGGAGGTGCTTTTGTGACTCTGGAAACTACAAAATATTAAATTTTCTGCAGAGATTACCAGTTATGTCTTGATAAAAAGTTCCCACCAACTCATTTTGCATTAAATCAGGAATAAGAAACTGAAGTTTACCGACTTATTTGCCATAATATATACTCAGACCTCCCCATTACATTTTGTACCAGTCCTACCTAGCTGGAATTCTGGAAGTGCAAACTGGAGGCATCGGATTGCTGTGATTATCGGAGGGCTTTTTCCCATGGGGTGAATCAACCCTTTGACAGCCAGCTCGTATGCCTCTTGTGTTTTCATGTCAATGTTAGAATACCTGGAAAAACAAAAAAGGGAGCAGACACTTAGTACTTCCCTTCAATGGGATTCAAAATATCTCCACCCCCAATAAAGCAGAGCTGCAATTTTTAATTCTTACAACGGCCTGTGTGTTGACTCTTCGCATATATTTTACCGCTAGGATATGTGTACTGTCAGTGGTGTAGCACAGTTTGGGAGGGAGGTACTTGGTCATGTCTACAAGATATTTTTGTGGGTCCTAATGTAGCTAATAGGTCCTAAAATAGCTGGAGATTTCAGGATACAAGGACACTTAACTGCAACCTCTCACCAGAGCACAGAGCACGCAGAGTAACTTCTCTCTGGTCCTGTCTAGCACTCCAACCTTTAAAGACTCTGATTATGGCAAAGTAAGTCATCTCATTTGTTTTAATGACCAGCAAACGGCAGTCGGATCAGGTCAGCTGCATTTCCCCATTGGATACGTACATCAGCAGGGCCTTATGATTTGATCCTTGAATGACAGCAAGAATCCGTTCCAGCTTCTCCCTTGTGATATGATCTGCAAATATTGAGGTAGAAACAAAGTCTCAATTATCCATCCAGAAACTGGAAAGAGACAGCAGTCTGAAACGTGCCATCAGGGTATTAGTGTCCCTCTGGCAGGCAGTCACATCAAAATGGGCTGATGAGAACCGCCGAGAGGTGGCTTCAGCAGCGTCACTTCTCCTGGCTGTACCGTGGTAACGCACAGAGCAGCACTGCGCTGGACTACAAAGGGAAGAATCATTTTGCTTAAGTGATTTCAGGATGTTGGCTCCAGTTGCTCTTATCGGGGGTTTGAAGAGTTTTATTCAATGCAAGCTTCTAACCACTATCTCTAGGTATGATTTATAGAGAGATCTGGGTCCCACCCAATCCAGTGGCAACCACTATCATCAGGACTCATATTGGCTTTGTATATATCGTGGTTGTATTTTGAACAGGTGGACTCTGACATCAGGATTGCACATGGGCTGCACATAAAAACAACGACTAGAAAGCATGTAAGGTGTACCTTTTACCATTGTGCAATTTACCTGGTTAAAGGCTTTACAGTTAGCATGCTGTCTGTTTGCTGTTCTGTTTTTGTTTTGTTGTTGTTTTTTTTTAAAACACATCATTCAGTTTCTTACCAAATGTTGTCTTCTCTAATAGCTTCCCTGTGTCTGAGAAGTCATCAGTGGCTTTACCAAACAGCCCACCAACAGTGTAAACCTTGAAGAAGGGCAAAGAGTGCAATTTATCAAAGAAATACTCCAAGCAATTGAGTAGCAATATTCTGCCATGAAGCTGCTAGGGAGTGCAGGCTATGATGACGTTGCACAAAAAGACAGCAGCATCCTCTGCTCACGCTGCTGCGTGTGGACATTCACATGAAGGATGAAATTCTGGACCCTGAAAAGCTCTCAAAAGCGTTGATGGGTTTGAGATTCAAAAGCAGAATCACCGCCAGTCGGGGCACCGGGGCAGGAATCAAGCGTGAGGTTGCGCTCAGATGTTCTGAGGCCCTTCAGAGCCATCACCTACCTTGGTCAGGTGGCAGTTGTACAGATCAGTGAGCAGCTTGTTCCCGTGGCCTATGCCAAGTACTGAAACACAGAAGATGGGGAACCTGTTACTCAGCCGCACGGAAAGTTACTGATGTGCATTTACACAGCGCTGCACACCCAGGCTGCTTTTCTTCCCCCCTGTAAAGGCTGTATCTCCTTAAAAGTCATCCCCAAATTATTGCTTGTCATTAAAACTATAAGGCTGTAGCTACGGCTCTGGGATTTCCCCAGAACTTTTCATGTGGGTACTTCAGGGCAAACATTTAGTGATGCCGGCCACAGTGAAGCCAGTTCAAGTGGTGGAGTGGAGATGGGGGGTTACGTGGCAGACCACCGACGGTGTCAGGGGCAGGAGCAAGGCCCTGGGTGCCGGGGGTAAAGGGCCGCTCCTGTCTCCTGGCGTTGCCAGTGCCTTGTTGGATCGTTTCTTCCATGGTTTAGTGTTTATACTCCCAGCTGGGTTGTGAGACCCGGGGGTTACTGCTGCGTAAGGGCTGAGCGTTCACCGCTTCTTCCCCACGCGGAAACCCATCACCTCGCAGCCGGCGGGATGCGGCGCTCCCCAGGACGAGACCCACCGAAGACTCCCGAGGCCTTCACGTCCAGCCGGTGACCCGCTCCGATCTTCAGCCGCCTGAACCGTGGGCCTCGGACTACAACGGAGACACCGTCGGGCTCGGTTGGCAGAGCCTGCCCGGGGCTCCACCACCCCGGGGCTCCCATCCCCGCGACCCCCGCCCAGAGACCCCGCGGCGACCCTTACCGAGGGGGTGCT